GCTCGAGCCTATGTGGGCTTCTCTGCTGGCTCGTGTGTGGCAGAGACGGCCACGAGGTCTGGGGCTCAGGCTGGTGGCCTCCAGAGCAAGAATTTGGGTTTCCAAGTCAGCTTGGAGTAGCTGAGATGTGACTTGGGGTTCAGCAATGCCAGAGATCAGCTCTGCTCTTTTGCTTTTTTCTTCTTTTTTCCTTTATATTTTCCTCTTGCTGCCCAGCACTGTCTGAGGATGGAGATGTGGATGAGGAAGGGGCTGGTGGCAGTGACATATAGCAGTGGGGAGCCACCAGGATCCCACCCACGTCATGCATTTAACATCGTGCTGAGGGCTGGGCAGGTCTCGCTGGGACTGGCACCAGAGGAAGGGTCTTGGGGTGAGGGTTGGGCCCCCCCAGATCACCTGGGGTGGGTGGGGTTTCTGGGCTGCCACACCAACGTCATCACCCCTGAGCAGTGGGGTGTTTCTGCACCTCTTGCCCACTCGGTTGCCTGTGGAGAAGCAATAAAAAAGCCCCATCCAGTCCCGTTTCATTGCCTCAGTTTTAAATATTTATTTAAAGTCCAAAAAGAAAAAAAAAAAACAAAAAAAGGAAGGAAAGGAAAAAAAAAAGCTTTCAAGAGAACAAAAGGAACCTCCAGACTCGAGGGAGCTGCTGGTGAGAGGGGTCTGGGGGGAGCAGTCTGGTGATTTTGGCCTGGGGGTGCCAGGGCAAGCTGCCCCCGGGGGTGTGTGTGAGGTATTTCTGAGTGAGCAGGGCTGTGTGGAGGGGGAGGTGTCTGGGACAGATCTTGTTTAACCTTCTCCAATGGTGGGTGGAAACCAACGGGCAGGCAGTAGCAAAAAACCAAAAAAAAGAATACACCAAGAGAGACTCACATATAATTTTTTTTTTTCCTCAAAAAAATAAAATCCATAGTCCATATGAGACATGAAAACTCCAAACAGGCACTGAAGCGTTTCTGATACAGTACAGCTCCGATTACATCAATATTATTCCTTATATAGAATTAAAGATTACCATAATTATCCTCTTTTTAAAAAAAAAAAAAATCCCTCCAAATTTACATATAGAAGACTAAATTTCTACAAAAACTTAACAAAACCAAACCCCTCCAGGCCCGGCTGGGTTCTGAAACAAGGTTCCATGGTGTCAGTCTGGGCAGAGGGGCTGGAGAGAAGGGCTGCAGAGCTGGGTCTGGATCCCAGCCCGGATGCGCGGGCACAGCCGCTGCAGCAGAACCAGGTACGTGACATCCGACTCAAAAGTAGCTCTCTCTGAGGCTCAGTGCTTCCAGATGAGCCGTATCCCTCACGCCCCTCCCAAAGCAGTGAAGTGCTGATGAACCAAAATACAAAGAACAAGCAAATTGGCTTTAAAAATATCCCGATTCTGGCCGCGGTTGGGGTCGCTGCGCACGCTCGACATCCGTGGAGATTAAAGGATCCCTTTAAAGGTGTTTCTCTGATTTAGCTGCAGATTGTAACCTCCTCTCTTCCTAGAGAGATGGCCCTGTGGGCTTTTTTTTTTTTTGGGTGGGGGGGTCTGTGGCAAGACACTGTAGCACCTTCACAACCTTAAATAGTTTAAAGTCATATATATAAAATAACACACTTTTTAAGAGCACCAGAGATTTCACAGTGAGAGGTAGAAACAAATCAGACGAGCCCATCCTCTCTCTCTCTTTTAGCACCAATCTCTTAATCTCTTCCCCTCTCCTCCTTCCATTCCCCCCTCTTGGCTTCGGGACTCTCCCCTACCCCAAGACCACACATGAGAAGGGATGTTGATTAAATTCACCTATGGAAGGAGGAACTTAATTTTTTTTTTTTCTATTTTTGTTTCTTTTTTTTTTTTTCCTTTTTCTTTTTGCTTTAAATAATATAATATATATATTTCGTTTCTTCTAATATTGCACGTCGAAGAGGCTTCCGGCACACAGAGCAGCCAGATCCAACCTGCAGCTCCGCCTGGGAGACCCGAGCCAGCACGTGGCCATCCAGAAGGCGACAAGCTCTGAGAGGGAAGCTCTATCTTTTAATTATTTTTCAATGGAAAGAACATTTGGTAACTCAGGAACCAGGTAAGACAAAACGAGGGGTGGGCGGGGGGAGGAACGAAACCCAAACCACACGCTGCACGTTGCTTGAGGTTTCTCTCAATGTTTTCTTTGGTCATGGAAAAAGCTTTTCTGTGTGGAACCACTTGCAACATCTAGTCCCCTGATCCCTTTCCACGCCTCACGTTCCGACTGATACCCGCTTCCCCTACGTCCTTGCTACTCCTCCTTTCAACAACCTGCTGAGTTCAGTAGATGGCGGGTTCTTTGAGACCTTGAGCAAGAGTTGACCCAGAAGATACAGCCCAGCTGTCCCTGCTGCAGAGAGGTGGGAGAGCCTGTGTAAAGACATAGGCCAAACTTGGGGTCAAAGCCTTGGGGCCCGGTTCCGATGGCTTTGTTCAAAGGAAGCAGACGGGGCCGACCTCGAGGTGGTACTGCCTGCCTGGCTCGGGCCTGGGCAGGTTGTAGATGTTGACAATCGGCAGCTGCTGAGGGTCCTGTGTCCGAAACGAGAAGAGAGTCCGATGCCAGCGCCCGTCCTTGACCTGTGCGTGGAGGAGGGACAGGGGAAAGCTGTTTAGCTGGGGGTGAATCCTGCTGGAAAGGCATGTGTTTCATGAGGTATGAGCCTGGAAAGCCCTGTGTGAGGCAAGGGGCTGCCCTCTGGGTGAGCGGGGCTGGGGAGAGGCTTAGAAAGCGTTTTGGGGAACCCTTTATCCAGGTCAAGCTGGTGGAAGCTGAGGTTGAAACAGCATCACCAAACACAAGCTCCTAATGCAGTGAACCCAAAATGCAGACACCCAGCTACTGATTCCCCCTCTTGGCATTTAGCCCCGGCTACAGCTGATGTGGAACTCTGGATTTAATTTTTTGCTTCTATTTGAAGGCCACCTACATAACAGGAGCCACTGTAGCACCCTGACCTGGGAAATTAAAGCCGTGAACAGGTACAGCAGAACCCTCTCATTGGTTTTGGGTTTTTTTTTGGGAATAAGAAGCACAGGTACAACTTGAGCCTTGTGTGTCCCGAGTGAGTTCATCCTGGCACTTCTCTCCACCTCTCCCCTCGTTCACAGCCACGTACCTTGCAATCATCAGCTGCCACCTCTGGCCTGAGCTGCCCGTCTGCCTCAAACATCTGCCCGTTCCAGGCCCGGAAGCGCAGGGCCTTCTCCGAAGGCTTCTCGGAGGAGCCCTCCCGCCAGACGGAGGTGTTCAGGCAGTGGATGGTGATGTGCTGCACCACCTCCGAGCTCAGGAGCCGGAGGAAGTTCATCTGGACTCTGCCGATGTCAAAATCCAGCTGTGGGGGTGGCAGAGCCGTTAGGGCAGAGCCCCGCCGCGGGGCCGGGGGGAGTGAGCGAGGCTCGGGGCAGGGGGTGACAGCAAAGGGGGTCCCTGGGCTCTGCTCCAGGCTGGAGGGGGGCTGCAGGACCCCGTGCACGAGGACATCCATGCATGGATGTCCAGCACTGGATCGGGCATGAGTAGGGGTGTAAGAGCCAGATGCCAAGTCAGCCTGGAAAGATTTTATGGGGACCCAACAGGTCCTTCATTATTCAGAAGAAAATGGCTCGTCCTTGAGCAGGAGTTAAAATACCATAAAATTTGAATTTAATACACACTTCTGCAAAGCAGCAGGTTCGGTTCACCTGCAGATGAACCCAGATATTGTTACTGGTGTTTTTAGTCCAGGTGCTTCCTCAAGAAAAATCCTGCAGCATTAACTTCACCAGAGGCTGACCTCACTTTTGCAGGTGGCAGAAAACACAATGCAGGAATGACCTGAACGTGAAATAATTGAACAAAGCCTTGGGGAGCAGCGTGTTCACCAAACTGCTGGCCTTTGTTAAGGTTATGGGTTAATTAAACCTTGCTGGAGACGTACTGCTTTGTCTTGACAGGAGTCAATAAGGGCTGTAGGTGTATTTTTTAACTGCTCCAGAGCAGTTCTGAATGTCACAGCTACACTCACTCTGCCTCAAGGAGAAGCCAACATGCTGTGTCACAGCGGTCACTGTCCGGTGTCCCGGGACAACACAGCCCTGAGTAAATATTTTGTAATAGTACTATGGGAAATGCCATGCTGGGGTCGAGCTGACAGTACCTTGGAGACAGTGATGGGGCTGAGACACGTCTGCCCACCATTGGTGAAGTTACAGATGACCTGAATGGTGTCTGAGGAACAGCCAAGGTTTGGGTCAATCCAGTAGATACCTGAAGAAATGGAGGATTTGGGGATTAACTTTTTCTGTAAGTGAGAAAAGCCAAGTTTTGGTTTCTGCATTACTGGTCCCAGGGAAGGAGACCAGTTTGGGCCATGTGAAATGGCCCTGTGGAGGATGCAGCCTTTTCACACTTGGGGCTTCCTACCGTCGTTCATCTTCTGTTCACAGTTCATGAGGTCTCGACAGATGCGTGCAGGGTTCTCCTTGGTTCCCAGGGGTCTTTTGATGCTCTGAATGAGGTTGCTGAGGTAGTGTAGAGTCTTAAAGATCTCCCCTCCGTGGTCGAGCATGAGAAGGTCTGGATGTTGGTAACCCTGGCGAGAAAAGGAGGCAAAGTCAGGTGTGCCTTGGTGCTGTAACCACAAGGATTTCTGCTCTACCTGTGGGAAAACTCAGAGGGTCAAAGACAGGCTGTGCTGGCTGGGACCCAGTGAGCTACAGCCCTTTGCACTCTGAAGCACTGGCAAAGTCATGAGGTCTGAAGCTTCACAAGTGAGTAATCCTTTCATTGGATCTATTGGTGGATCTGCCCCAGATATTCCATGAGAACAGTGATGAATCAGAGCTTTGCAGGTATAAACTTGAAGCACACAGAAGGAACAAGCAACCCCGTGACCATTCCCAGCCTCCAGCTCCAGAAAAGCCCAGTGAGTTCCAAAACACTCTCATACCTCTGTCTTGAGCATGATGTTTGAGTCGATGAGTGTCTGGAAAGCTGCCCCAAAGCCGTCCTGCTGCTAGTGTGGGATGGAAAAGATGGTGACTGAGATTGTTAGAAGGTGAACGTGCCCCGATGCAAGCCAAGGCTTCTCAGTCTAGGGCTGTGATCCTGCCAACACAGCAGCTCTTGCTGGACCTGAGCGTGTGTCTGCAGGGTCCCAGCAGCTCTTTCTGGATGTCCCAGCAGCACCTTGGCTCTACATGACTTATTAACATCGTTAACAAACGTGCAGAAAACAGCAACTTACAAATGAGGCTGGAATTCCTGGAGGTCCCTAGAAGTCAAAGCAAAAAAAGGGCATCAGCCAGAAAGATGGGCAGTCACTACAGCAAAGATATTCAGTCGTGTCCTTTTGAAATGCTCCTTCCCCTGGAGTCCCTCAATGCAGATGAGTGAGAGAGGCAACAATGCTGTCTCTATAAAACACTTGGAGATGGTCTGGACTAGAGCACAAGAAACACTAGTCCATTCACAGACATTTTTGCATACGAGAAACGGGGGCAGGCTGTAATTTCCAGTGAGTGAACAGTCTCCCTGGAGAGCATCATGGCAATAGTTTTAGCTTGTTTCAATAATGTCTTGGAACTCTTTCCTCGTGTACGTACCGGAGGGCCAGGGTGTCCTCGTGGGCCTGGAGGACCCTAAAGACAGCGTGGCATCAGTTAGGGCAAGATCTCCCTTTGGGAAAGATCTCCCATTTTTATTTCCATTTCTCATGATTGTCACCAGCATGAGTCTGTTCCCCTGATGAAATCCTCCAGATTTTGGACATCTTACAGCATCTTCTCCCTCAGACCCTTCAGGAGACAGGAGGTGGTCCCGTTTCCTCCATCTCCCAGCTCTGGGTGCATCTGTCTGCACCTTGTCTATCCCCACTGCATCCCTTGGTCCCAGCCCTTGGCTCCTTTTAGTGCCATATCCCCAGGTACTTACCATGTTCCCTGTATGCCAAATTACCCACCTGACAGCTTTACATTTCCTAAAAGCAACTGTTTTTTTTAAATACAAGCTATAAGACAGAAAAAGTGGTTTCAGTACTCACCCTTGGACCTGGCAGACCCTGCAGGAAAAAATAATTAAAAAAAAAGCTGTCAGAAGATTCTCATTAATAACCCCAAATCTGTGTATAGAAGTGTGCTTGTCCCAAGGTACCTGTGCAAGGGCTGGATGCCTAACTGGAAGCCCAGTGACAACAGGGGCCCAACAGTGTCTGCCAAGGGCAGTGAGGTTATTGCAGCAAAGGATCCTCATGGCTCTGAGACCAGCAAATGGTCTCTGGGGCTTGGGTCCCCACCAGCACACTGTCCTCTGCCGTGCCCATGGAGGGGGGAATGGTGAGCAAGAAGAAGAGGCAGCAGCCTGGCTTGTTAGAAATGTGCACTGGGATTTGTGGCACCCAGAACACCCCACACATCCCCTCGATGGTGGGAACACTGAGGAGCTACCAGAAGGTGTAAAAGTCCCCCAGAGTCCCTGCAAGAAGGGGACCTGAGGAAGAGCAGAAGGTGAGAACGTGCCCTGGCACTGCTCCCCCAGCTCAGGGGGCTGCACCTGGGCAGTGCTGCTGCCCAGACAGGTCCTGTGCCCTTAACCTGGGCTGCCTGTGGCTTTTTGAGCTGCCATTCACTGCAGCTGGCTCCTGGAGATAGATCAGAGGACACTGTGTCAGCTTTGGCTGTGAAATGGGGTTAAGTAGATGGGCATTTTGACAGCAGAGGGGAGCAGAGGTGCACACGTGGATGTGCACACGTGTAGATGTGTAGGTCTTGCTCTCGTGGGAGCCTGATGGCACCACACTGAGCCAGAGCCCAGGGGGGTGCAGCAGAGCCCAGTGTGACTCTCAGCTGCTCAGAGGGACCCTCCCAGCAGCAGGAGACACCCAGGGCTGCAGACCAGCACTTACCATCTCTCCACGGCTGCCTTTGTCTCCCTTGGGCCCCTGTCAAAGCACACGAGGTGGCTGTCAGTGACTGTTAGCAAGCTGCACTGCCCTTTTACAAGGGCTTGCAGTGACAGGACAAAGGGTAATGGCTTTAAACTGAAAGAGGGGAGATTTAGATTAGATGCAAGGAAAAAGTCCTTCACTCTGAGGGTGCTGAGGCACTGGAACAGGTTGCCCAGGGAAGCTGTGGATGTCTCATCCCTGGAAGAGGCCAAGGCCAGGCTGGATGGGGATTTGAGCAACCTGCTCTAGTGGGAGCTGTCCCTGTCTGTGACAGGGGGGTTGGAACTAGATGGTCTTTAAAGTCCCTTCTAACCCAAACCATTCTATGATTCTATGTGTGGCCACCCAGAAGCTCCTTGCAAGGACCCAAGTGCACCTCTGAACAAACCAGCTCAGGTTGCCATACTGACCCACCCATCCAGAGGCAAAAAAATAGCCATTATTGGATGTTTTGGCAATGGCCCTGTTCATCTTACTGGTTTTCATCTCTGCCAGCAGCAGTCTCTGTAGCAAACTCTAAGTAGCTTCATGCTAATGTTTTTACAAAGCACTGACCTGAACTTCAGTCTGTTAAATGCCTTTGCCACTTTGGGGCAGGGAGGGATTTTCAGCACTTCCCAGAATCATGCTGCTCCCAGTTTAATATAGTTATCAGTTTTCTTTCTTTGTTTCTTTTTTTTTTAATTTTCTTTTGTTCTTTTTCCACTCTCAGGTCAAGCTCTTCAGAAAATCTGGCAGATTGCTTTTGAAAAACTGCAATAACATTCTTGTCTTCTAGTCTGAGCCAATCTATCAATAAACCTGCACTTAGGTAGAGGTGCTCCTCACTTTTAAGCTAATAATCTCCCCACAATTATGTAGCCAGAGACTAAACCTGCACTTTGCTCAAGCTGCTCATTGTAAAGACCATTTTGTTACCTTCATTACAGCAGGACTGGGGAATTACTTATGCTGGCCTCAAGCCTCTTGGATCTCAAACATCATGCTCTCCTAAAAAATACAGAATAAAATCACAGATACTTACTGGGCTTCCCATGGGACCCTGAATGCCAAGTGGACCAATAATCCCTTCTTTTCCCTAGAAAAGAGAAGACACCTGTGAACCATCCTGTGGGAACTGATGGTCGGTTTTATCATGGAAGGCTTAGGAAGGACACTGAATCTCTTTGTGGCTTTTCAGCAGCATGATTTGCTGTAGCTGAAATAAAGCTGTTTCACAACACAGGTCCAAAGACACAAGCCCTCACAGCATGGTTGTTGTGACCCACGTAAAACCTCAGAAATTCCAGAAATAGGAAGATGTCAGTGGAGCTGGAGTGGTCTGTGCAGTGGTCAGGGCAGCATGACTGTCTCCAAGGCAGAAGAGATCCAGGCACACCTACAGATGTGCTCGGGTGGCTCGGAGGTGATGGCTTGTCTGCCAGGCTGGTGGTGAACAGTGCTCTGTGCTCCTTACAGCACCCCGTGGCCTCACCCAAAGACAGTCTGGAGCAAGGAAAACCATCCTCCCAAACCAAACACACTGAAAAACCACTCACCATGAGACCGGGCGGCCCACGTGGTCCCTGAATGCCTTTGAAACCAAGGTCTCCTGGGGGGCCCTGCAAGCACAAATAAGATGCCAAGTCCCCTTAACAAGCACAGCCATGGGCATGCCCTTGCTTACAGCTCTGCTGCAAGGACAGAGGGGCTGCCTCTTGTATATGGGGGTTGGAAGGTCCAATTTTAATAAAAATTCTTGTTGCACTTCTGCTTTGCCAGCCCTTTACTTTCTATAGAAAACACACTGGTCCCTCTTCACTGGGACAATTATATGCTGATAAAATGAGTCTAAACATCTAAAGATGTCCCTGCTCCCTGCAGGGGGGTTGGCCAACAAAGCATATGTAAACATACACTCATTTAACAAATGAAGATGCATGAACTAAAGGAAGTTGGAATGGTGCTTCAGTTTCAGTAGTTTCTGCAGAGCTGTTCATCGTGTCTTTGCAACAAGCATCACATTGTCCCCAGTGAAGGGAGACCAGGAAGCCAACTGCTCACAAGGCAGCTTCTTACCTTTGGGCCAAACAAGCCTGCGATCCCTGGAAATCCTGCCTCGCCAAAGTCTCCCTGCAGACAGCAGCCAAGACAAACACAAGAACAAAGAGCAGCAGTAAGTTCATGTTGAACGACTGGTCACTCCAAAACGTGCCAGGAGTTCAGAGAAAGAGAACTCCATTAGTATTCTTCACTCTTAGCAGGACTGGTGAGAAAGAAGCATGAGAGAAGGGAGGAATTACACAGACATCAGGCTCGAAGCAGTGCCTGAAGGTCTCACAGAACAACAGGTTACTTAGATCTCGTAGACTAAGACTTTTTACCCCCAAAATAGGAGGCAAAATCTGCTACACTATTTCTAGCAGATGCTTGTCTAGCTTGGACCACAGTCAGCAGAAGCAGGATGGAGAGTGTCTACTCTGAGATTGATCTTGGAAGTTCCTGCTGCAAAAAACAGCCTCAAAGCCCTTAAAAACAAGGGATATTTTTATTTCTAGTACCAACTGGACTGACCAACTACCAAAAGATAATTTCAAACTATACTCATTCAAGCTGTGAAAAAAGTGCACGTTCCTGCAACATAATCCTCCCACTCAAACCCAGGCATGTCCCCTGATGCTTCTCCTACTCAACCCTGCAGGGATATTTGCTGAATTTCTAAATAATAAAAAAAATATTTGGAAGGCCATGGAGCTTGGCTTAGCACACAGCATGCACTCTGAGAATAAAAAAAACACACTGGGCAGCACGTCCTTATATAAACAGCCTCATTTCACCATGTTTGAGATGTCCCTCTTCTGATATTCCTGGGCTTCTCAGATGTCAAAATGTGAAATGAGTCAACATTAAAAAATAAAAGGGTCAGAAACATACAGCAGATGATTCATCATGTCTGAGGAACATCAGAGATGGAAAAGGCTTGTTTGGACTCTGGGCAGGACTGTGTGACCCACGCTGGATTGTACTTTACGAGATGTTTCACAATGGCTTGTTCAGCCCAGTTGTAGATGACTCAGGCGATGGGGTTTCCACCACCTCTCTTACAAGGCTCTTCCAGAGTCAGCCTCGAGACCTCGCTCTTAGGAAGATTTTCCTGCCACGACAGTGAGGAAATGCTTGGCAAGAAATGGCTTGGTTGGAACTCGGTGGAGTGTAAGAAACTTTCCAAGGATACAAACTGATTTAACTGCCCATCTGTGAATCCTGGAAAGGGAAACTGCTACTAACAGAGGACTGAGGTGTTCCCTGCGTGAGGAGAACCAATGAAGCCCTCTTTCAGAGGACTTTTGGGCAAAGGTAAATGGGAAGTCAGGAGGGTTTAAATGGCATGGAGTCATCTCAGCCAAGGGGACCTGGTCACTCATGCAGCAAGGTAGGCAGTGGCTGTACTGGGTAAATGAACCTGCCTCCTGTGCACACCAGAGCCTAAATGATGTTGTTATGTTGTTGGCTACTGTCTTTCAGCCTGAACACTGCCATCACAGGGTTTTACATGAAATACACCAACAAGAAGATTCTAACTGAGGTAGTTTGGGTTCATCTTGTCCCTTGTTTTATATTATTTGTTTACTGAGAGAGTGGTGAGGCATTGGCCCAGGCTACCCAAGGAGGTGGTGGAGTCACCATCCCTGGAGGGGTTCAAAAAACATGTAGATGTGGCACTTGGGGACAGGGTTAATGGTCATTGTAGTGTTAGGTTATGGTTGGACTTGATGATCTTAGAGGTCTTTTCCAACCTTAATGATTCTAGAATTCCGTGATTCGAGTCCTAATCTCTCTTTTCCTCCTGTTAATTTTTCATCTGTGGCCTAACTAGTCCCTCTGATGGTGGCCTCAATCTAAATAGCTTAAGTATTCTCTCTGTAGCCTCAGACTGGTAAATGGTAACACACCAGTGCTAAACTGGGCAATCCCACCAGCACAGTAAATCACGGCCTAACTAGTCCCTCTGATGGTGGCCCCAATCTAAATAGCTTAAGCATTCTCTCTGCAGCCTCAGACTGGTAAATGGTAACACAGCAGTGCTAAACTGCTGGCACCAGCACAGTAAATCAAAGCAGTCAGGGTTAGGAGCCTGCCTTGAAGACATGGGTGGGAATTGAGCTTCTGCCCTGACAGAGGACTCTGATGCCTGCTCCTGCACCTCCTGCATGTCCTCAGAGAGCTACAGACCCTCCTTTGCACCTTTTGGATGGCTTGGAGTGCTCAGGTCACCTCCTGTGCTCAACATCTCCCAGAGGCTCCATGCACTGCTCTCATAACAGCTCTCACCGAAGACACTGTGAGGGGTGCTGGAGGTGGCTCTGCAGCCTGGCTGCCAGCACACACCATGGCCTTGGAACCAGAGGCATGAGGAGGAGATGGGCACTCATGCTGTCCTGGGGAACACAGGCGTGGATTAGACACCGCTGTGCAGAAGCAAGGAGGGAAGAGCAGGGAAAAGAGCTGTGATGGGTTATGGGTTCCCCTGGAAAAGACCCACCCAGGGTTCACCCTCCTCTCCCAGCCCAGATCTGCTCCCTCTCCTGCAGCAGACAGCTCGGAGTCAGGTCTGAGCAGCTCCAGCACCACTAACCGGCTGTCCTTTGGGTCCTGGATCCCCAGGGCTCCCTGGAAGGCCCGTTCCTCCTGATGATCCTCGCTTCCCTGTTTGGCCAGTCTGTCCAGGCAATCCTCTTTCACCCTAAAAATAACAGAACTCAAGTCATTCCAAAGCACAGGAGCTAAATATAACAACACTGCCAATACAGCCATAGATGGAAGGCTGGAAAAGGGTGGCTGGTCAGGGCAAGGAATGTGGTTCCCTCAGGAGAAGCCTCAGGTCTGCTGAGGGGGATTGCTGTGGGATGCACAGTGTGAGCCCAGTGGTGGCTGTGGCTGTCACCTCTCCTGAGCTCCATGCAGAGCAGGACCTTCAACAGAGCTGTGCTGCCTGTGCCAGGGGTGAGGATAGCCAAGGGGTGAAATGTCTTCTGCTGGCACTTCTGTGTGTTATCTGTCCTGCCCTGCAGATTCCCATCATCTCTTCCCCCCTGCAGGACAGCAATTGATGATTAATCCATCTACAATGCTGAAGACGTGCCAAGACTTCAGCTGGAGGACTTTAAAGGAGAGGCCACAAAGCCAACACTTCTCCCAGCACCAGCTCTGTGACTGAGGAACAAGAGAGGGGCTTCTGAGGCCAGCACCACCCTTTGCTCCCCACCTCTTCCCCTTGCTAAGCAAGAGGAGCAGCACAAGCCCCAGCTATCAATCTGGAGCAGACTGGGAGAGAGGAGCAGAGGTGGTGAGAGCCTAAGATGGTTTTCAGCAGCTGGCAATGGGGCAACAATTTCCTTGGGGCCAGGGGATGAGTCTGTCAAGGACACAAGATCTCTCCATCATGCCTGGTAACAGCCTGTTGTTCTGCCCAAGGCAGCTGGAGGGCAGCAAGTGACAGTTCAAGAGTGATGTGTTATGGGAGGCATAATTTACATCAGACCTGAGAGTCCCTCTCAGCCCAGCCGTAGTCTTCCTATTCCCAGTCTTTCTACAAGCAGTTAAATTGCTGTTGGTCCAGTTTAGATCCTCTGGCCAGTCTAGATCAGGGCAAGGATCAGGAAAAAACCCCAAGCAGCTTGTCCCTGTGTCTACCCAGAGTGGGGTCCAAGCCCATATTGGTTCCAGCCATTCCAATCCAGTAAAATATGCTAAGAACCAAGTGACATGGATTTCCCTTCAGCAGTTCAGGCCTCGCAGGGCAGCAGCTAGAGGACATCTGAATTTCCCAGAGAGTCTCCCATCCTGGGCATCCTACAGGCAGGCTGTAAAAGTTCCTCTGCAGCTTCCCCAAGGTCATGTTTTTTTCAGCCAGGTTTAGAAGGCTGGAGTGTTTGCAGTGTGGGTACATGTACCTGTAGGCTCCTGAGCTCAGTGGACTTTGGCCAAGGAGGAAAGGTCTCTGGGACACTGAGCTGCTGTGAACATCATGAAAATGGATGGATGGATGGATGGATGGATGGATGGATGGATGGATGGAGATAAATATCTACCTGAACCTCTAGCTCAGTGAAAGACAGCAGCAGGACTTGTGACTTTATTAGACCTTGTAGAAACCAGGCTCTAGAGTCAACAGACCCACAGACTGAATTGCTCATAGTAGTATTGTAGGGATACAGAAACTCACCTTAAATCCTGGTGGACCCTGTGCCCCGGGGAGTCCTGGTATGCCAGGGTTCCCTCTTTTGCCTGACATCCCTGTCACACCTTCTTCCCCATCATCTCCTTGCTCTCCCTAGAAAAGAAACCCAGAAGAGGTTATGAAATTAGCTGCTTTTGCCACCTCTGCCCAGCTTCAGGGAGGGATGGGGGATGTGTGTGTGTGATTCTGTGCCCAGCAAGCCCCATGCACCTGGCGTGGGTGGCTCTGCAGAGGTGTGTGTTGAAGTCTGTGCATGCAAGGATCTGCCAGGCTAGAAACACCAGCTGATTTACAGAGCTGGCCACACAAAGGCACCTGCTGCCTCTGTGGGCACGTGAGACATGGCACATGACCCACTCTGGGTACATGTAGATTGGAGTATCTCTAGCTGGACTAGATCCATTTCTCCTGTGCTGCCTTTTAGTTTCCAGCTCCTAAGCTGTGCTTGCTGTTGATGTAAGGTTCCAGTTGGGAACTCACCAGCATCCCAGGCACACCATCCTTCCCAGGCACTCCATCCACTCCAGGAGCACCCTCTTGACCCTGTCTTCCCACCACTCCTCGAGGACCTGGTAGCCCAAGGATGCCCTAAAATCACAAAAGTGTTAGTGCTGGAGCTCCAGGACAGCATCTGCTGGAGCAGAAGATGGAATTTTACCTACCGGTGAGCCTCTGCTCCCTGCACTGCCCCGTGCTCCTTGCTTTCCTTTTTGACCCTGCAAGTGAAAGACATCTAAAATTGCAGCAGTTCTAGCACAGCTCCACTTGGGAGCCTGACTTGAGGGTGTGCTTTTGGATAATGGTTGGAAAGAGTTGTATAAAAAGGAGATTTATAAAGTCAGTTGCTCCAGTGCTGGGGAATGAACAGCTATTTGGTTTTATTACAAGTGATTCTTCGTATGTCTTGAGAGTTCTAGGCAGGAATGAATAGCTAGAAGGCAGGGACCTACATTTTTCCTAATACAGAGCAGATGAGGACAAATAAAGCAGGATGAACTCGAGGGAGGACTCAGTGCACTGGCAAACATTAGAACAAGATGCTTAAAACCTGCATCCTCTCAGTTCATTGGCAGCACAGGGCCCAAACAAGGACCCAGCCAGTCTTCTGCAGGGCATTCAGTCAGAGCTTTTCTCTGTGAGGTTGCTCCTTCTCTCTGGGAAAGTTAATGGCTCTGAAAAGGGTATCTGGTGTCTAAAATTTGCAACGCTGCTTTGTGAATGAAGACATAAAAGAAATACTCCTGAGGTTGTTAGCTGTAAAAAGGATTAATTTCTGCAGAATGAATGGAAAACTCAACCTCATCACTTTCACTAGGGCTCTCTTAGTGAGCTCATGTACTAAGGCACTTTTAAATTGAAGCACTGCATTTTCTGTGCATTGTTTCTCCATCTGCAGAGGACCAGGCAGGCCAGCTACATGAAAGAAATACTCCTGGGGGTGCTTCCTCTGCTATTCATTAGACTCAAAGGCAGTTCCAGATTGTCCATCGATGGGTAGAGTTTATTTATCTTATTGCCTGGTATGTCTTTTGCCAAGAACACCTACTGCAGGTTAAACTATCTTCTGGCATTATCTCAGCAGAGTCAGGTTAAAAATCCTGACATCTGCCAAAAAGGAACAGGAATTTGCTGAGTATTGAGGTCACATACTTATGTTTTAGCAAAAAAAAAGTCCCTGATCTGTAAGAATAATTAGCAAGCTGTCATTATAGCCAGATGTGGAGGTAGGAATAGGTATGAAGCACCCCAATGAACTCTGAAGGACCCACGTGTGCTGAGTTTCCCTGCTCAATAAGGGCAAGAAATTAAAGAGACTCTTCCAAGAAATGTAACTGCATGGATAAATGGACTTCAAATCTGGAAGGTTTCAAGCCAGAGAAATTTATGGTTCAAGTGAAAGAGAGAGACACTTGCCTGGCTCAGGCCTCCTTAGGGACAGACGAGCCAGCTGTGGCTGGAGGCACCACAAACTATGGGAAAGAGACACAACCCAGGGCAATGACTAAAGACCTGCCCAAGAGTCACCCATCCTGCTGGAGCTGTAGTTGTCTTGATCTTCTCCAGCTTCACAAGGCCAACAGACTGTTGGGCTTGGCCACTCAAAGACATGTTTACAGCCCTCCCACTAGGCTCCCCACAGTCTTTCGAGGCGTAGACCATAGACCAAACCACACATGCTGGGGAAAAACATGACAGTCCTCTTAACTAGCCATTTTCTTTAAACTTGGGACACTGTAAATCCACCCTGCTGAAACCTACCACATCACCTTTGGATCCCTTTGCTCCTGGCTGGCCTGGTGGTCCAGGATCCCCCTACAAAACATAAGCAAGAAAAAGCTGCTTGAAATTCTCTCCTGGCAGAATCTTGCAGGAAGTACAAAGAACAGCATTTATTTTTTGGTGCCCCAACATTGCTGCCTGTATGGAAACAATCTGGGGGAACAGCCTGTGCTCAGAGAGGCCTCCTGGGGAACAAGGAGTGAGGAACTGTCTCCAGAGACCATTCAACAGGGTGTCAGCTGGAGAAGCAGCAATGCTACCCCCTCACTTGGGTAGTGTTTGGATTCATGGAAATCACTCCCTTAATTCCAGATGGCACCTCAAAAATAGTGCTGAGGAGTGGGCAGGGAGGAGCCTGTTTTGGGACAGGTACTGCAGAAGCTACGTGCAGAACAAGTAGTTCATACAGTGACTGTGTCTTTAGTGTTGGTACCAGCTCTCTCTAGCAGGCTGCAGCCCTTCCCTTGGTTTCACCTGGATTTCAGACATTAGGGAGCTACCTATGGAAGAATAAATCAGGAAGGATATTCCATTGCTCTTATACTTCCCCATCACACAGGTCTCCATTTTTTCTTCTGGCCATCCAGGTGTTTTCGTTTGTTTGGGTTTTTTTTAAATGTATTTATGTCAGGTGCAATTTTTGGACTAGTATAAAATAGATTATAAATAAGGATAAACCTGCAGAGCTCTCCTCCTTTAGCTTGCTTCTGAGTCACATGTTTCTAACAGCTCTTTACTAAGGACAATCCAAAGCTCCTGCTTCCATGTGAAACACTGATGTCTGAGGAGATACCACCCCTCAGAATAAACTCCCTCCACTGGGGAATGCAGTAGCTCTACCCATTTCTAGGCCATAACACTGAGCACTAAGATTTTACCCCAAAATAGAATCTGTTATTCTTCTGAGAAGCCCTACAAAGCATGGGTATTTATTCAACTTTATTTCCCAACACAAATACATTTAATGTGCTGCTGCACTCACAGTTGCAATAGCCACATATACAAATTAGACACTGATGTATATAGCAAAGGAATAAAATGTCCTGCTCTTAAATTTGGATTTAATTTAGTCTTTCATAAATACACTGGTTGAGAGGCAACACCATCCAGGCCAAGAACATGGTCTCACCTCACACTGTACAGGCTCTCACCAGTGGCATGCCAAATGTATCATTTCCAAGTGGACCTTTCCACTGCCATTGTCATCTCCCACTACCCATCTTCCAAGATCTCTAGTCCCTCCTGGATCATTCAGAAAAGGCCATTTTGAAGTCAGGCTTCTGGGAGTGACCCCTGCTTCATCACCCATTTATTAGTCCAACATACTAAATGTCCCTTTGAGTCCATGACTCAAAATGTCCCTTCTACAGGCCTGGCTTATGGAAGTACAGACATTCCACAGCTGGCCACACATCCCTTACTGCAGCCCTTCCTACCTGCCCTCCTCTGTGCATCTGGTTTTCACATACAAGTGACATTAGCTTACAACAAAGCAGCATCTCTTACAGGTAAGCCTTGCTGTCCAGGTTTCCCTCTTTCTCCATCAAGCCCTTCTTGACCCTTAAACAAAAAACAGAGAAAGAACACGTGTTTGTTCTTGGGTATTTTTGTGGCAAGGGGAAACAAGGCCAGGGGTAACATGCTGTTTGGGGCAGGAGAAGATAGAAATGTCTGCACTCTGCTACTGTAGAAGTGCTGAAGTTGTGGTACATGCTCATGGACATGCTCCCATGGACATGCACTGGAAAGAAAGAGCCAAGAGGAACTGCTAATCCCCATCTAAGCAGTAAAGACAGCTAACATGTCCAATGTAGAATTACTCCTTGTTTGAAACACAGCCGTGTGCAGTGGCTCACCAAGGACAACAGTGGTTTATGAACTGTGACTGCTGGGCAACGGGGAGACATGACACAGACTGGTAACACTCCCCCAAGACAAACATTTCTGAATGATGTATTTGGAATAAGACTCACAGGATAACCAGGGTCTCCAGGCTCCCCTCGATCACCTCTGTCACCAAAGGGGCCCTACGACAACACAACAAAGACTTAAGGTGGACATACACCATCTGACACCCACAACATCTCAATGGCTTGTGCATCTTCCTCAAGTCAGGAAGCAATGCAATAGCTAATCCATCTGTAAAAATCAGGCCAGGATTGAGGAGAGAAGGGATTTTAATGTCTTACTCTGTCTCCAGGTGGTCCCTGTGGGCCTTCTACCTTCCCGTCATCACCTTGTTCTCCCTGTGAATAAAAATGCCAGGATTAACACAGACAGCAGATGCTTCTGTACAGACCTGACCCAGTCCTCCCATATCCTGGGCTCCAAGTCAAAGCCTCTGTTGAATTTACTAACTTTTCATCCAAAGAAAGTCTAAACAATTATTTTTGCTGCTGTTTCACAACCTGGAGCACACTGACTCTTCACATTGCTATCCTGCTGTCTTTGGGGGTTATTTCTGCTCGGTCCAACTGTCCTCCCCAAGGAACCAGGTGCAAAGGGTTATTTTTAACAATCCTAAAACTAAGCATGAAGCATGTAATTATAACAAGATGGGAAGTAGTCCTCTGACTCTGACTTTTATTGCCGACAGTCAAAACAAACTCTTTAATTAAACATTCCCCCACCCTCAGTGAGTGCTGTCTGGGCTGATGTGGGAACGAGGGTGGTCTGGATGGGCTCCCTGGTTGTGTGCCACCACTGTGGGCTTGTCTGACAATGGATCAGGTGAGAGGGTCAGCCCCTCACACACTCCCTGTGAGAGGAGCTCCACTCGTTCTTTGGATGCTCCATGGCAAGTGCTCAGAGCTCATGGTCTAGCTGGTAGATAATATCACCGGTTATTTATAACAGAGGTCTCTCTAAACATCCTCTGATAGATCCCTCAAGACTTAACAGAGACACTATCTTTGCTAATTCTGTTGTGTAAGTCACTCAGGGTCACAGTGTCCTACTTTCTCTGGAGGCTAGCTCAGGGTTGGCTGCTTCTTGGCTCCCCACAGCTACAGTCCAGCTTCTAAACTTTCTGGCCACTCCATATCACCGAGGCTCTGGCGCTCTGGCTCCTCAGGATGAACATGTCTCAGACGTTCTTTGATGCAGCCACCAGAGAGAGGAGGTCTGAGGGGTTCTGCCACAGTGGAGCTGCTGTGTTTGGAGCACTTGGGTTGTTCCTAGAGCCTTAAACATCTGAATCTCCACAGCTACGTAGAGCCAAGTTTTCCACAGACTTCTGTAGTTCTCAGTGTAACTCATCAGCCCTTTCTGGTGTATTTGTGACTGCCTTTGACCTTTTCTCTCGGCTACTCTCATCTTCTGTTTGAGTTGCAGCTGCTGATAGTAAAGGTGCTTGGGCAATCTGTGATCCTGCCTTTAGAGCCAGCATCTGGGGTGCTTTGCTTGTCTGTGGTGTTCGGTGATGACAGAGCTGGAGCAGTCAATAACCCTCAGTGAAAAAGCTCAGACAGTGGAGCAAACAGCTTCTTTTCTGTGGCCATGGTGTGGACTGGGGGCTGTGCCATTGCTGGGAGAGACAGGCTGACCCACACTGACTTCTTATGGGCTGAGCACTGGTACTGACATCTACAGCTTGGTAGAACAAGGCTCAAAATTTGGCAAAATCTGTTGCAGTTGACCTCAAGAGGTAGCAAAGAGCTCAATGCACCTCTCTCCATGATATACTTGATGACAGTGGCATTTTCTTGCTCTGCTGCTGCAACATGAGTTGGATGAATGTTGCCAAGATCTCATATGTACTCAGAGGTGATGGTTAGATTGTCCTTAAGAGATTGTGTTCTCCAGGATGCTTCTCTGGGCTTTTGGGGAGTTATCATGGTAGAAGAAATATACAGCGAGAGATTGTGCCAGGATGCTTTAAGAATATAGTACTGAGCAATATGGATGGAGAAATTTGGGTGGCAGAGTAGAGAGGAAAGTTATGCCCAACAGGCTCTGCCAACAGGTTCCAGTGCTACTGAGCATGCTGGTTGAAGCCAGCAGCAGAATACCTGGCCACTGGTTTGCTTTTGAACCACTACCAAAGGAATGTAGGCTAGAAGGGAAACAAAGACATCATTTCTAAAGCCTCAGGGGAAAAAAAAAATGATCCCTGTATATGCATTAGTGTGCAGAAGTCTTGGCACTGATTGCTTCTTCCCAAACAGGACATGAACACCTTGCCACCTGGGAGCTGAGACGAGCGTGGTGAACTCAAAGCAAGCTCATAATTCTGGGGACCCTTGAAGACCATCAAGACTCACAGACTTCTTCCCCAAAGCTGAGTTGTGACTTTGTGTCCCCTTGAGTCCAATCCCCACCTTGTCCTTTCTCTTCTGACTTGAGGAAAAACCCTGCAGCCTGGTCAGCTCTAGGACTGTGAGACTGAGCTCCTCCAGGACTTCCTGATGCCTCATCTGCTCAAGAGGGAGATGAAAGGTCTGTGCTAATTCTTTGGAAAGTTGCAGTGAAAAAAAGTTGAGTAAAGGGCAGCAAAGTAAACATGTTGGGATACAAATGGAAAATGCATGGAGAAGAAGGGGAAGGCTTGTTGTTGTTGGCTCCTGTCCCAAAGTGAGATACACCAGTTTGTAATTTTTAAAAGGATCCCATCTGGACTGCTTTAAGCAGCTGCCAAGTGCAGGCGTCTGCTGTGAGCAAGGCCTCTTTGAGGAGCTGTAAATGCATTAAATGTGGCAGAGTAGCTGGCTGCTGTGGCACAGGGGAGCTGGGATCCACAGGGATGCCCCTCACCAAGCTGCTTTCTTCCCTGGCAAGGGACAGACCTTCCCCACCAGTATATACCCTCCTTCTTCAGCACAGTCAGGTTTACCATGCTGTTTAAAGCTCACAGAGCAGCCATGGTCCCACATTAATTTCCTCTTAATTTCTGAAGATTCAGGCTTCTATTTTCATGTTTACATGTATGTGTGTGGTTACAGATGCCTGGAGAGAAGGAATCTGTCTACCCTTAGGCTGGGATCCTGGCAACTGTGGGGAGATGAGAATGAAGGATGGATGATAAGAAAACTTAGATACAAGGCTTTTGTGGAACACCTGGATGCTGCAGGAAGCTCAGCACGCTCTCCTCGTTCAGCTGGAGCTGCTCCCCAGCAAGGTGCCAGCAGACCTGCCCACCTTCCATGAGGCCGTGGGTGAGATCCAGCTGTGCATGGTCACCAACAGGCCTGACTGTTCTCAGCAAGAGCATGAGATGCTCTGGGGTCTCTGTCAGGCTTCAGCTTGGCCACTTGCATGTAGAACTCATTTTATCATCAGGGTTGCTGCGCTCTGGTGGCACAAGATCCATGTTATATCTGAGGGATCTAGCTGGTAGATAATATCACCAGAATGCTCTTCTAGTGCCCATTTGCAGAAGAGTATTTGGTTGGTGAAAGGGAGAGTCCTTTGCTGAGAACCTCAGTTTAATGATTTTGGGTCCATTTACTAATGAAATGATGGGAGCTTTCAAGAAGATGCCAGCTTTCAATATTTTAAAATAAATGAACAGCCACAATTTAAACAACAGAGATCCCCATCTGCACATCTCTTTGTCCTGCTGCTGCGAGGCCAAAGGCTGGTCCTGCTTTTGGTAGTCACGACTCACAGCTTTTTGCCAGGATGCTCACGTGGGACTGTGAGAAACCTCTGGCCAGGCTTTCAGTTGGCAATGTGCTTGGTTTGGACCTCTTGCATTCTTCTCCTGGGCTGGTTCTGCTCAGTTAACACTTGCCACTTCCTGCATGGCCACTCAGAATACACCTGAGGAGGAATGCTGCTGACGTCTGGAAGAGCAAGAGGTGCAGCTTGGGAAGTGGATGGAGCTGGTTAGAAAGGCTGGGGGTGGACAGAAAGCTCAGCAAGGCTGCACTGGAGATGCCAAGCAGCAGGAACATCAGCAGCTGTTCTCCACGGATGCACTTCAGCAGCGGGAAATGAGAGGAAAAGCAGCATGACCATTGTTCATCCCCAAAGCAAAACGTCTGAGGCACGTGAATCTCTTAGTGGGACACCCAGTTCACCCTGCCCTGCTGACTGCTGGCCACCAGCACGGGGACTGACACGCAGTCTCCAGGCAGAGCAGAGCAGAGAGAGCAGCTCAGGAGCCTGAGCTGAAAGGACACGTTCAGAGCCCCAGCCAAGACCAGCCCTCGGGATCTCTGTCCACAACCCCCTATAAGCAAGGGAGCTCCTGCCCAGCTCCTGGGTGATCACGCCCTTGAGCAGAGGATGGTGAGCCCAGGCAAATCCCACCAGGCTGCCCCCAGCTCCCCGACTGGAACCCATTACAGCATGAGTCACTGCTCCAGCCTGAACTGGTTATGGCTGTGCTGACTCAGCAAGAGGGGGAAACAACACGGGCAAGCTGCTGTGGAAAGAGGGCTCTGACTCAGGGGCTTGCTGAGGGGCGTGGGGGGACGAGTGAGGTCAGGGGGTGGTGGGTGATGAGGGAAATGGGACAAGGGCAATGGAGAGGAGACCGGTTTGGCCTCGCTTACAACACACTCCTGGCTGATTTAAGCACAGATGGGCAGCTTGCTGAAAATCAGCTGGTTTGTGCAGGGTGCTGTTGTGACCTGATCACAGAAGGCTACTGGTTCGATTTCTTTTGGCTTGGGGATTGTGCAGAATTTCTACAGAGGCAGGAAAAACGTGTCCCCAGAGCACACAGCAGCTGGCTCGGCCACTGCTGCAAGGGCACATGGTGTCTGCAAGCACGTGCCAGTGGCACGGGTGTCCTGGTGCTGATCTGCAGAAGTTAAGCTGCAGCAGGAGTTGTGGAGGTGGCTGTGGTGTAGAGGCACCTCTGACACAGGTAGAGGAGGAGAGCGCAGACACGTGGGTGTTAGGGCAGCAGGGCAACTGTCTCTACATCAGCTCAGCTTCCATAGTGATGGGAGGAGAGATGGTTAAACTCTGCAGATTTACCTTTTCCCCCTTTGGCCCCGGTGGTCCAATTGGCCCTGGTGGTCCCACATGGCCCTGTGGAGAGCAGACAGTGTGTGAGGAAAAAGCCAACCTATGTGACTGCAGGTCCTCCCTAGTTCCCTGTCAGATCTTGCAAGCCTTGTGTTGCACACCCCAGCTTTGGAGGGACACATGGGTCATGGCAGAGAAGAACCAACTGCTTCTGGAGAAGTCATGGTGGTGCAAATGGAGACAAGAGGAAGAACCAGACTGAACTTAGGATCAGAAATAAATACTAGCTTAAGAACAGTTCAGCATCCTGGAGTGGCAGTTCTGTTGCATTTGAGAACAGATAGAAGCTGGGATGAAAATACACTCCTTACCTGGTAACCCTTTAAGCCAGGTTCCCCTTGAGCACCCATCCTGCCTGGAGCACCCTGGAGAGGCAAGCACACAAAGCACTGTGAGTGGCCCAGGGGTTTTACCCCACAGAGGAGGCACTGGGCTGTGCAGAGCAAAGCTTAGCACCACCAGTGGCCACCAGTGAGCTTTGCTGCAGCCATCTGAAATGCTCTTGCTTGGCTGTAACCTCTCACACGTGGAGAGTGATGCTAGGAGTCCATTCTGTGTCTCTGCCAGTCTGTAGCAATAGGTTCCCCACCTCATTCAGATTTGCTACCAGAAATGGCTGCACAGTGTGTGCTCTTCATCCCTGCTGCTGGATGTCTCTTTTGCACCCAAATTAGCTTTGTGCTAGGAAGTCCACTAGTGAGACCATTCTCATGCATGACCCAATCCTAAAATGCTGGGAGGAAACCTTCCAATGTGGGCTGAGGCCAAGAAAGGAGTTTTCTGGGTTGTGATGAGGGCACTGCAAGAGCTGTTTATCATGTCTTTAGGAGACTGAATAAAAGGGTTTAAATCAGATCATCAGATTAAAGTGGACTGCAAACTTCCCATCTAATCCCATTTAGCATGGAAGAAAGCAAGCCCTTTCCACAAGCTCAGTCCAGCAGACTGCTGCTTAGCTATTGCTTTGCTTCCTTGTGAAATAATCCACAGAGGCTTTGCCAAGGAATACGAAGGGAGGATATATGGGGAGACCATATTTTTTAGTACAGGAAAATACTATCAGCACAACCGTTACTCCATCAGTCATTTGCTACTGTTCTGAAACACCACCACGGTTCCCACTTCATAAATAACTTGGTTTCTCGCTAAGTTCTACCCAATATGGTGCAAGAAGTTTCTTTACCAGCCTGCAATGGACGAGGAGGGACTTGCTGAGAAGGAGACCAGTGATTTGTCTCATGTGCCTAAAGCAAATTAACTTTCTTCCCTCTCCACCATACTATTGTTGCTCCCTCTGAAAGCCTCACCTTCAGCCCCCAACTCAAATCCTTCCCCATGCTATCTTTCTTCCTGCTGCAAGTGTTTTAGATAAGTAGATCAAGAGTGGGTGTAGAAACAGGGCAGAAGTCCAAGGCAGAGTTCCTTACAACAACACAGATTGACTTGGAAGCAGCTCTTGCCATGAGTGTGCAGTCTCAGAGGGAAAGATCTTAGCAAAAAATAGCTTATCAGCTCACTTCCTTCTCAGGAAAAATCCCCAATATTTCAGCCCATCTGGGGAGCTGTGAAGAACCACCACGATGCCACGTGAGCTGGGGTCACGGGGCACCAACACAAACACCACGAAACCCATCTAAGATAATTTCACTTTCTGTGCTCTGAAGCCTCTGCTGGGTTCTCTGCTTCACTCAGGCCTGTGCCCACCACTGCTAGTCAGGTTTCTGTGTGTTGTGTTCAACCATTTGCAGAGCTCTTCTCACCATAGGTCCCAGGGTACCTCGGGATCCTTTAGGGCCTTGGTTCCCCTTCGGCCCCTCCTTCCCTGGAGATCCTGTCTCGCCAAGCTGCCCCTGGTAGCCCTTGCTGCCCTGCAGAACAAAAGCACTGACATTAATGTAGAACAGAGAAATATCAACAATGAGCAAAGAAAGGGAGATCCAGAAGAGGAGATGTTACCAATGGGAGATGTTCCTACCTTCTGGCCAGGCTTGCCCTTTTCCCCCTGTTTTCCTGGTTTCCCTTCTGGTCCCTAAGAGAGGAAAAAAAAAGCTGTTGGAATGGGAAAGCAAAGAAGTCCCATCCTAACCAGCCATTCCCAGGCTACTTTCCTTGCACACTCAACCCTGACAGTGTCCTCACCCATCCTATCCTATCCTATCCTATCCTATCCTATCCTATCCTATCCTATCCTATTCCAAGGTGCTAACAAGGAGGCTAGGAAGTCATGCAGGTAAGGCCATGGTTCACTGTACTACAGCTGGAGGATGTCTGAGTTTGTTCTGGGGGTGCTCCACCACATGAAGAAGGAAATCTCATTGCTTAAATGTGGAGAGATCTCTGTGCCCAGGTGCCTACAGGGCAGCAGGGCTGAAAAGGTGGTATTTTTAATCCTTGGATCACACATCAAAGACAGGCAGGTGATGTCCATCTGTCCTCAAGGATGCAAAAGATGGATCTCAGAAGTGCTGCTTGAAGACAGCAACCACTAACCTGAAAAATGGACCTTCCCAGCCATGGCTAAAGAAGGCCTGAAACATGAAGAACACATTTACCCTGGCTCCCAAAAATGTTTCCTCTCGTCTGCAGACAGGGCTGCCACCACCACACTACTGCTTCACAAACAGAGTTGCATTGTTCACCAACTCTGGCACTGCACTCACAGGATCTCAGAGCTTTTAATGTGGTTTTAGGATACTGGCAGTGGTGCCATTGCCTCAGCAGCAATTAGCTTCATTTTCACTTTGCAAAAACAGACAGTTGTTTCATTTTCTATTTCCCTGCCATGCACAGCCTTCTGCTCCCAGTGCAAACCCCTTCCCTCTCTTTGCATTATAATTACTGCAACACACAGCACACAGAACTCACAACGTCCTGATCAGGCATTTGGAAATGGAGCAGGATGAGAAACTTCAGGTGGGTGCAAACGCCTCTGCAGGCACACCGCAGAAATTAGCTGTGGTGAGCAACCAAGTATAGCACGCTCTCCTTAGGGAGCCAGGGAGCTCATTTTTTCACTGTTTGACCCTGCTGGCTGCAAGGCAGACAGCATATTTTGGATTTGACAGAAAGAAGTGAAAGTATCACTGAAGAAAATAACTCATGTGCTTTGGCAACTGCGAGGAACTTTTCAGCAGCGTCCGTGCTCCAGGGCGGCATGGCCCCCGCCCCCCGCTTCAGGAGGGATCCTTCTCACCACCACCATGCTGCAGCCTCAGATGAACAAAAGCCATTTATCAAGCTAGCCACATCGCAGGGGTTTCACTCTGATCTGAAACACGGGCCTCAGATGTGCCTGCTCTTAACACAAAGGAGCAATTCAGACTCATTACAGCCCTAAAGAATCGTGCCAGTTTCTCATGTCCCCAGAGGGAGTAGCTCCATTTTACCAAAGTCAAGCATCTCAAGAGCCCACCTTGCCAACACTATTAGAGCTTCCCAGAGGACAGGTCCCTGCCAAGGAGTGCCCAAGTCCTGTTCTGATATCTCTTCCACACTGCTTGGGAGTTTTTATTTGCTATTTTTTGCTGCCAGTTTCCAAGAGATCACTTTTGGAATTATTTTCCCAGAGATGCTGAGCAGCCGCAGTACATGAGGAGTTGTGGGTGCCAAGCCTCCAGCGTGACCCACATGATTTACACTTCTGACAGGAGTACACAAATTCCCACCAGTGAAAACATCAGCCTGGGAAATGGCCATCTCCATCCAGCTCCACAGCTCCCTCACCACTGGACCTGGTACCTGGTGCCTCGACCTCCCCACGTGCCGGCTGCGATGCGTGTAGCAAAGCAGCAGTAATGCTCATAGACCCTGTTCTCAGCAACACCATGACGCTTAGTGCCTTGAAAATCTGGAGAGTGCATAGTGGAATCACTCACGAAAGTTTACTGTCAAAGCAAGATGTGAATGAATAAAGACACAACTGGGATTTCTAATTAGTTGCACAGTGTTTTCCGATCAGTCTTCCTGGAGTGTGCACTGAGATCTTTTGGAAGCAGGGCAACAGACGTTTCTTGCAAATAGGAGAAAGCCCATTTTAAGCTAAATCTGTTCCTGGCCTCAGTGATGGCCAAGCCCTTGATCTTCTCCAGCAGAGTCATTTTGCACACTCAGATGTGCTCCTGAATTGCTGTGCTTTAACAGCTCTTGAAACAAATACTTCCATGTTATGGCTCCATCCTCAGGACGAGGACATGTTGTCCTGTCTCAAAAATGCAGACATCAGTGCACTGATGAGATGTTCCCTTTTATCCTTGTGCAGGGCAGAAGGACCTTGCTCACAGGGGGGGTAATGAGGATCTCACAGCTACATCAGAAGAGTCTGAAGTACAGCTTGGTTCCCCCCACGTGGATAAATCTCCCATGGAAGCAACGGGTAAAACTTGCTTCTACCCTGCACCGGGAAATGTCTTTGCTTTTTGAGGAGACAGGTTCAGGCCTTGACTCTTCCCACTGAGAAACAAAATTTCCACACTACTCCTAAAATCTGCCAGCATTCAAGTTCATGCTGGTACCCGCAATCATGAAGTACAGATATAGGGTTAGAGTCAACTGGGAGAGGGAAAACCAAAACATAAACCCAACTTTGACAGTCCAAGGCCTACTCATAAAAATCAGCCTGATCCACAGAAGCCTGTGCTACGTTCAAACAGAATCTCAGCTTTCTCTGGGTTCCTCCAGCTTGTCTTTCCCTGTTGGTGGAGTCTGAACACAGACAGGGGCCCCAATAAACCCCCTGCACTGGCTTTTCTTCTTCTGACACACTGGCCTCACTGAGCAGGGATCATCTACTCTGGAAAGCTCTCCTGGGTCCTCCGGCTGGGGTGCGGCTCCTTCCTGGTTGCTGGAGAAAAAACAATTGGCAGCATCTCCAACTCTTGTCAGTGATAGTGAGACCAGCTGTCAACCATGGACATCTTCCTTCGGGCCTCCCTCACTGTTGTTAGCTCTCATCTGCTGGTTAGAAAATCTGCTGGTATAAATAAACGGGTCAAACTGTGCTGGCGACACCATCAGCAGAGACGTGGCTTGGATCTTGCAGCCTAAGTCACCTCCTTGAATGGAGCCAGCTCTATCAGCAAAGGCCATTTCTGTGCTCTACCAGCATGCTTTCTAGGACTTTGGCCAGCACAGCTCTGCTGGTGAGCGGGAAGCCTACCATATGTCTGATTTTCCTGGATGTGCTTTCTCCAACTGTGCAGGAATTTTGCCCAGATGAATTTAGAGGCACTTGTCTGGGGTTCCCAGATATGTGGTATCTCCACTTGTGATGCCCCAGATGCAGTTGCTGTTGCAATCCCAGATGTTCACAGGGCACATACACAGGGGTTTGCACAGTTCCCAGAAATCACCACATGGTACATGCCACACGTTACACAGGCTATTGCCCAGCAACACCTTTGGTAGCCTCCAAAAAAGGTCAGATCCTTTTTCTCTCCATTCTTCTAACTCATCTGTCCACAGATGGAAAAACCAGGGCCAGAACAGGGCAGGGAAAAAAAAAAGGATAAAAATAAAATTCAGTGAGATCTTAACTCCATCCAGGGTCTCCAAATTACCTCAGGAACCCAGCATCTTGTGGCACCTTGTTCACTGCAATGTGAAGTTCCCGGGGTTCCTACTCTCTTTAGCAGAGAGAGAAATGAAAGGCAGAAAATATACAAAAGCCTATACATAAGAATAATTAATTCCAAGTTCTTTTTGCTGGATTCATATGAGTTGGGTTAGCGTGCCAAGGCACTAAACACTTGATGCTTTTATTCTCGGGGTTTGTACACATTTTGTTGTATGCTTTGGGTTACTGGTTTGCTGAAAAAACAAATCTTCTTTCCAAGCTTCTTCTGTAAGAGGGATTATTTGTAAATAGTGATTTCTCTTTATATACTGCACTCTTCACTAGAGAAGCATATCAGTATCTCTAGAAGATCATGGTATTTGTGACCAGGGGCAGTGGAGAGCAGCAGTTTTACAAAATTACTTGCCTTCAGTTATGCCAAAATATCCAAGAAAAGCAAAAAAAAAACCAAACTCTTAGTATAGCATTTTTAAAATTTCTTTGCCAGTCTCAGTGAGGACCTAATTTTCTAATTTTTTTTTAGTATAGCCTTAGATATTCCCTTCAGGAAAAAGCTGAAAGGTTTATTTTCCAATGCAAATTTATTAATTTTTAAGGAAAAAAAGAGGCTTTCAGCTCCTGACGACCTTGGCAGCAAAGCCAGGTCTCTTGCACGGCACAGCAGTAACGTTTTTTTGGGAACAAATAAATGAGCAGCCCAGCTTTAAACTCTCAAGACATCAAAAGTTGCAATCTATGTTACAACAACATCCAGAGAAAACAAGGAAGTTGAATGAACTGCAGAGAGATATGCCCCAAATGGAGCCAAACAGCAAACACAGTGTCAAAATCCAGACCCAGACCTCCCTTACACTGAGGTGCTCTGCTACAGGCACTCGAGCTGGGGAAGGGGTGGCTGAGATGTGGCTCCCTGACCTGGTTTGGCTCGTGGGGAGCTGTGGCTCTTGGCACCTCGGAGGGGAGATGATTCTGCTCTGCTTGCAGACTTAGGGCACGGCACAGGAGGGAGGCTCTGCCAGGGCACAGCACCGAGGAGTTCAGACCTTCCCCAGGCACACCTCAGGCAGGTTTAGGATTGCTCAGGGCTGTTGTGGAGCAGAAGCATGTTTTCAGATTGTTTTGGGTGTCATTAAGTGAAGGTCTGAGGTCACTCCTTCCTACCAAAAAGGAGGCAGGAAGAAATAGAAGCAGCAGAGTGCAGCTACTGAATAAAGAGATGTGCCAGTGGTGATGGGAAAAGAAAAAAATGGTGTTAGTTTGAGGCACGGGACATAGAGCAGAAAAGCTGAAGCCACAATAGAGGTAGGAAGCATGAAACATGGGATGACCATGCCCATATTGTTCAGGGCCCAGCCAGCGAGCTCACTTCAAGGGAAATGAAAAAGCCTCATATCATTTCCTACTGCTCAGCAATGTCTCCATATGAGAACCTCTGCTTAATAAGCTTTGATCGAGAG